GACCTTCCTCGACCAACGAGCAGAGGCACTGGTTCTGGAGGTAGAGCAAGCAGTTGAAGAGATGATGCAAGATGAATCTCCTCTTGGAGATAGCCAAACTGACTCAACGGCTGCCACAAGAACTTCAAAGCGCCTTCTCCTAAATGAAGAATACATCAAGGTAATAATCTCTCCTGCTCATTAAATTTGTTTTTTTTTTTACTTTTTTAGCTCAGTGTTTCTCCACTCTTAGTATTGAAATTATAACAAGATCACACTGTATTTTATGAATGAGTGTTCATATATTTTTATGGCTGATTAATGCTGTCTCGTGTTTGTATTTTTCAGCGTGGACAGACACGCAGGGGCACCATTTATGGTCTTGGCAATTTCCAGTACACTAACAAGCATCCTTCTGAGTCTGTCCCTGCTGCACTCAAGCGAGACATAAACGTGGAGAAGAGGGTTTCTGGCCTGGAGACTGAGTTGCATGCTTTGAAGACTGACTTCAATGAAGGCAATGCTAGACCTCAGGCAACTCTCGACATGATTCTGCAACTTCTTCAGCCTCAAGCTTCTTCTGCACAAGCAAGTCAGTCTCAGCATCGCTCTCCCTCTCATTCTGCAGCTCCACCTCAAGGTCAAGCTCAACCTGAAGGTCACGGTCAAGCTCCAACTCCACCTCACGATCAGCCTCAAGCTCCAGGTGACACACAACCTCAACAACTCATCACCACTAACGATTCTAATTTAGGTAGGTGGTGTAATGAACTTGGATTGTAGGTTTAGATGTGGCTGTTTATGTATTATGGTTTCATGTTTTGTGGATCTTTTGAACTCTTAAGGAGCTATGGCTGTTTATGTATTATGTGGTTTCATGTTTTGTGGATCTTTTGAACTCTTAAGGAGCTAATGTAATATATTCCCTTTCTGTTTCAGCTTCTCTTTTTAAATTATTCAGAATTAAAATCTCAACCCAAGAAAATGAGATCAAATTAGGAAACAAATGAAATGATTTTTTTTTTCCATTTTGTGGTAATTTGCCACGAAATCGTAGCAAACTTGCCGTCTCAAAACGTAGCAATATGCCACGATCCATAACGTAGTAAAACGTAGCAAGTTGCTACGTTTATCTTCGTAGCAATGTCGTCGCAAGTTGCTACGTTTCATTTCGTAGTAAAACGTAGCAAGTTGCTACGNTTTTTTTTTTCCATTTTGTGGTAATTTGCCACGAAATCGTAGCAAACTTGCCGTCTCAAAACGTAGCAATATGCCACGATCCATAACGTAGTAAAACGTAGCAAGTTGCTACGTTTATCTTCGTAGCAATGTCGTCGCAAGTTGCTACGTTTCATTTCGTAGTAAAACGTAGCAAGTTGCTACGTTTATTTTCGTAGCAATGTCGTATCCATTTGCTACGATTTTGCTACGATACGAAAATGGCTACGATCGTATAGCTACGAAAACATAAACGTTGCTTTTCGTAGCAATATCTCCAAATAGCTACGAAAATTCCTTTATAGCCACGATTTTGTGTCGTTGCTATTTCAGTTTTTTTTACTAGTGTCACTATCAATTACAGTACTACCTTGGAAGAAACCGTTTCAGTTAATAACACTTGGTACATCAATTGATATATTATCTGCAGAGAGTAGGTTTACAGCAACTTACGAACCACCGAATTGGTATATTGAATAAAAAATGTACCCACTACAACTTAAAAAATAATTTTCGACACTACTTCCAAATGGGTGCAGAGACAACAATACAATGATTTGTATCCTAAATACTTCTCAATATCCAACTACCGTTGGTCGAAGTTTTATATGCTTATCAAAGTTTTTTATGAGCTTAACTAAGAAATATATTGTTTTAAATTCCATTAACATAAAGATACATTATCTTTTGTGGCATCAAAACCTTCATATTATGATTTTGAAGTAATTTTCGGTTCAAATCTGCGGTTATAATTTTATATCATAATAATAGTATATCGTCAGTACAATATAATATCTTAGTCAATGGACAGCCTAAAGGATATATTGTCTCACGACAGGGTGATCCATTATCACCATATCTATTTATTATGTGCACAAAAGCTTTAATATCAAATATTAGGAAAAAAGAAGAAGAAAAATTATTAACATGACTCCAAATTTTCACTGGCCAGTCCAGCGATTTCACATTTGCTTTTTGCTGATGATAGTCTTTTCTTTTGTAAAGCAAACCCACAAGAGTGTGGGGGGTAATTTTATAGATTTTGAAAGATTATGAGAGGGCATCAGCACAACATATGAACTTTCTGAAGTCTTCACTCCAGTTTGGGCACAAGGTACCTGAGTCGGTACGGTTGGAAGTGTAACAAACTTTAGTATAAATTCGATACGGGGTATGGGAACTTATTTGGGCATTCCAGAAAGTATCGGAGGATCAAAAACTTAAATATTTGGGTTTCTTAACGAGCATGTTAATAACAAGGTAAATAATTGGACCGTTAGATTTATAACAAAAAGGGGTAAGGAAGTGCTTATTAAATCTGTAGCTTCGGCTAAACCAACTCATGTGATGTCATGTTCCCGATTACCAAAAACGGTCACAAAGAAACTTATGAGTGTAGTTTCTCACTATTGGTGGGGGTGGTTCTCATGGGATAAACTGTGTAAGGATAAGGAGGAAGGTGGCATTGGTTTTTGAGATATACAAAATTTTAACACGACATTGTTAGCAAAACAGTTATGGAGGTTAATTGCTAAACCTGATTCGCTCTTTCCAAATGTCTTTAAAGGGCGATACTATAGGAAATCAAATCCTTTGGATAAAATCATACTCTCCCTCTTATGGGTTGAGAAGTATCACTTCACCTAGATCTCTGGTTAAAAAAGGGCTAATCAAAAAGTAGGAACAGGGTCAACCATTTCAGTTTGGAATGATCCCTAGATCCCTGCTCCTCGCCCGATCGCCCGAGATCAGCAATTCCAAAACTTCAAAATCAAATTTGGAATCCGTTACTTCAGGTGGAGGACTTAATTATTCCGGTTGATTTATCCTGGAATGTGAATTTACTCAACACATACTTTCACAAGGATGATGTCACTATTATACGAAGCTTGGCTGTAAGTCGTATTCCAGAACCAGATAGGTATGAATGGCATTTTACCGACCATGGTAGATATACAGTGAATCGGGATATAGGGTGGAAAAAATATATCCAGATGGAACTTTTCAGCATAGAGATATGGGACCAGATACTAAAGTTTTATTAGCTCACTATTGGAAGCTCCACTGCTCTCCAAAATTACAACATTTTGTTTGGCAGATACTTTTAGGTAGCTTACCGGTAACGAAGGCCCTTAGCTCTCGTGGTATTAAGTGTGATGTGCAATGTGCAATGTGTAGAGCAGAAGAAGAATCTATAAATCATGTATACCTTTTCTGGAGGTTACTAAAAAAACCAGACCTTTCGTATTTTCCTTAGATTTCATGCTATATTTGGAAAAATCGTAATGACAAGGTTCTTAATAATAAAATAAGAACCCGTTGGATATTCTTCGTACTGCGGAGATTGAAGTTGTTTTGTGGGCTGAAGCTCAAGTCAAAGATCCTGAACCTCATATTTTTCCTATTATTCCAGGATAACAAGGGGTACATCGTGATGTATGGTGTTATATTGATGGAGCATGGAAGGAGCAAGACTTATTTACAGGTCAAGGATGGTTCTACAGAAAAGAAGGAACTAATGATACTATGATGGGTGCCATGAATATTCGTAGGAATCTATCACCTTTACATGCAGAATGTGAAGCGTTGATTTGGGCGATGGAGTGAATGAAGACCCGCAATATTTCAGAAGTAGTGTTTGCAACATACTATTCTCAATTGGTGAAGATGGTGTCTACACCCACAAAATGGTCGGTGTTTACTACACACATTGAGGAATTTCTGCGATGCAAGAATTTTTTTCTATCTTTCTCCATTCAGAATATCCAAAGGGCAAAGAATATAATGGCCGATAAGCTGGCACGCGGTGTTCGAAATCTGCCTTCTGCTATGGTTTATGTTAATTTAGTTCCCCCGAGGTGGCTCTTGGGTCAGAACTCTAGTTAGTTCGTTCTTAGTCTTTTGTTGTAAAAAAAAATCATAGTAAAAGAAAATAATAAATAATTAGTTATATATAATAATATACTTTTAAAAAGTTCTATTAAAAATAGTTATTCAGTGAATCAGTGTACCTTGATCAGAAAATATAGCAAACAAAATTTTCATTAAAAAATATAATATTATGAAATTAAAATAAAAATAATTCATAAAAAGTTTACTAATAAAAATTATGGTAGTTTTTAAGGAAATAATAAACTAATTATATATATAATAAAACCAATGATCAAAAATGATATTCAAAAGATAATCAAATAAAAATAAAACAATACCAATTGTATTCTAAAAACTAACAATAATATTTGTTTAATAATCTTAATCAGTCTGGATGATATGGTTATTTGATAAAAGCTTTAATAAAATGTGTATATTTTTAACTAATCAATTTTAGAAACAAATTTTAAAATTTCATATTATCTACATCAGTAGATTTAAAACCGTATAAAATATGAGAAAAGTAACAACGGATTAAAATAATATATATATATATATATAAGAATGAAAATAATTCATGATTTATACATTGAAAATCTACTATATTTACAAGTAGTTTATTTACTTTCTAATAAAGGTATAAATAACATTAAAAGTAAAATAGCTATATTAATGAAAAATAATCTTTTATAAATTTATTAAGTCTTTTATTTTTATAAAACTAAAAAATTATAAAAATTAATGTTATTTTAAGTTTAGAGAAAACCAAATATTCTAACAAGTATATTAAAATATAATATATTTTAAATTATTTTTCATTAACTTACCCACCAGTAGGACGGATTTAATTTCCATCTATCTATCTATTATTATAAAGAAGAGTTTTTCCCTTCTTCATTAGCCACATCACTAATTCATCATGAGAGAACGTGACACCTGTCGTTCTTAGAAAAATTCACTGTTTCATTAAAACTAAATTGGACTCTTACGTTTAAGTTAAGTTTTTCTCATAATTTAGTGGGCCATACTCCAGTGATTCAGCCCAAATCAGTGAGACCAGCTGTAAGATTTTTAGGGTTTCGTCGTCTTCTTTCACGATGAAGCAAAGAGTTTTATTCTTCGATCTCTGATACAACTATAGAGTTTTGATATACATCTGTGAATATTCGATCTGGCGTTCTGTCTTCTCTTTATATAAGCGAAAACGTTTCTTCTAATTGATTCATCCTCTTTAACTCCATCACCCCTCTACAAAAACAATCTTTTATTGAATGCACCTTAATCCTCTGTAAGGCAGTGTCTTTAATCGTATAAAAGGTGAACTTTACGTTTCTTTGAACATAATTATCTGAACTCTTGAAAAAAATTAAGAAATTTTTTTCTCTGAAATATCTAATACTCGAATTTTTTCCCCATCTGAAATCTGGTCGATGCTCATCCACTGTTCACGTGCGGTTGCTCCTATCCTGGGAGGCCAGACACGTCAGCCAAGCTGTGAGGAGATGATGGGTGTGGATATGCTCTTGATGGATTCAAAGGTAATTAAAAAAAAAAAATAACTCATGTTCATCCTGTTCTTCAATTCATGTTCATATTTAGGTTAAATTATTCCGGCGTGTAATCTCTATCAATGTATTGATATTCGTTAGGTGTTTCTAATCGTAAACTTTTGGTAATATTGTTCTAAAACTTTCATCTTAATTGAGATGATTCTGTTTTCCAAATCATGTTCATATTATTCTTCTTATGTTCAAAGTATTCTTAACTCATGTCCATATTCATTTACGAATTGTTTGTTGATTATGCTTTTTTCTCATGTGATTT